GGTTTCATTTTGGTTTAGGTGGAGCCCATACTTCCTATATAGTCTTCTCATTTCCCTAAAGGTTCCCCAGTTCCTAATAAATCTAAACCCCTCCTCTCTACACCATCATGTCATCCACGCATCCACTCTGCAGTTGTGCTTGTCTAACTGGCCCTGCACATGGAACTGGAAGCATTTCAGGGAGTGCTACCATAGAGGTCCTGGACTTCAGTCTCTTATCTAGCAGCCTAAATTTGGCCTCCAGGACCTCTCTCCTATCCTGCATGTACCACGACCACCAGTTCCTCTCTAGAACTACACGTAAGTCTGTCTAGAAGTCTCAAGAGATCCACGGTCTTCACACCCAGCAGGAAAGTCACCAAGTGGTTCTCTCAGTCATCACAAAACCCAGCTAATGTTTCTAATGACCAAATCCCCCATTACTATTACCTGTCTCTTCCTAATAACTGGCGTTCCCTCCCTGAAAAGGTATCCTTAGCGCAAGAGATACCCTGGCATCATCTGGAAGGAGCATCCCCACTCATTTCCCTCTGCTCCAGTTTGATGTTTTCCTTCCCTAAGATGTTCATCCTCCTCAGTAGTACAGAGGCTGTCAGACCAGGGATGGGACCTTTCTTCTGTGTAAAATTAGTCTTCCATTCCCCACCTTCTTTAGGAGATGCCTCCTCCTAATGTGATTCCGGTTTTTCAAGGTACCAGCTCCCGTACTGATCAAATAGCTGCTCTGGCCACGTGCCAGTTTCCAACCAAATGAATTGTATAGCCTTATCTAACCACCAAGGCCCTGGGCTGCTGAGAAGAAAGAGGGGAAAAAATCCACACTTCTCAGGCCAAACTTCTTGTAGTGAGGGAGAAACTTCTTTTTCAGACTCCAAAAGGTAACTAGAATGAGGCCCCAAAACCCAGTCCTAGTCAAAAGAGGGAAGGGGACAGCTTTTCTTTTCAGCACAGAATGGCAGCCTGGATAGAAGGAAGGGGTTAAAGCCCTCAATGGTTGGTACACAGGAGCCATTAGGCGTATGCTTCATCCTATCATTCAACCAATCAGCCCCCCTCCTCAAGCCCACAAGATGGCTGAGTGCTCAGGAGAAAGGAAGCAACCGTTAAAGGAGCCACAGGTTTTCTTTCCCCTGGGGTCTGAGGTATTATGTTATTTCAAAAGAATACTAGGCCCCAAGCCTGCAATACGATGCATGCAAGCAGATCATTAAGTCTGTATGGTGTCCAGTGAAGTCAGTGGAGCTCTGCCTGGGTAAAGGGGTTTCTCATCGCAGATCAGATTAGAGAGTATAGATTAGTATTAAAAGACATTTTGATTACAAAATATAATTTAATTAAAAGTCTTGCAAATATCCATATTTTATTTTTTGCTTGGAATGGTTTGTCTCAAACACTACTAGAATGAAGGCCTCAGTGCTATTGCTGGATAATTAATAATAATAGCAAAACACTAACAAGTAGCATTAATCTAGTAGAACTAGTAGAAAATGCTAAAATTCTTTGACATTAATTCATTTATTTTCTGTAATTTTTTTAAATTATAGAAAGCCAGTAGCCCCCTTTTCTAATACAGGAGTGCCATACGATATATTTATTTAGACTTTTCCAAACTTACTCTGACACTGTTTTCAAAGCAACACTATTTGGTCTGTGCTGTGACTGAGTTTGCTTCTTTAATCTTCATTTAAATAGAAAGTTATGATCCTGTCCGTCTTTAGAACATAAAGGATTCTATGGCATTTTTGCAGGATTAAGGATTTACATACAATGAACTATCTTAATTCCCCATGCAGTCCTTATTATGTCGTCTATAAATTGAACTGACCTTCATTTTATTTAAAAAAAAAATCCGGTAAATGTCTTTTTGCTATTATAGGACTCTGATACCTGAGGCAAAGAAGTTATTCTAGGTAGATTTTCCTTCCCTTTGTAGTATTTAGTATTTTGTTACCATGTTTGGAAAAATATAGACATTTCCTTCTAAAATAGTTTAATACTATTGTATACAAAAAGAAAAACATACATTTGAATATGTGCAAAGCCCTAAATCTCAGATTATTTGCCTCTTTCTATTAGAGAAAACAATGGCACATTCCTGGCTTGCAAAATGTACACTTTTCTATAGGAGTTCTGACAAATATGAGAACTACATTTTTCATAAATGTATTCCCCAAACTTAATTTTATTTTTTCTTTAAGTTCTGATTCTGCAATCCGCTCCACCTGGGAGGAATCCACCTTCAGGGAGCACCTTCTAGCGTCAGAGCCATAATTGTGGCCATGAAATTGTAATAGATAATTACAACTCAGAGTTATAAAAAATTATTCAGTTATTTAAGATTTGTAATTCTAACCCAATAGTTTTGAAATGATGTTGTTTATTTTTGTATAACACTTAAAAGTGTGATTCAGTGGAGTTATATTTCATGACTTCCATGTTGTCTTGGTCCTCCAATAGCCATAAAACCTGCTTTAGCCAAATCCTCTCATAAATATCATCTAATATAATGTGTATCAATGTACAGTTTCAATGGCTGGTATCAGTAAGTGCCGGTCAATCAGCTAAAGAAGAGAAGCAGTGCTAAAAAATATCCTTTCTAGGATAGTCCAAGAGTGTGCAGAGCCAACCAGAATGAACAGAATATATGCCATTCATTACAAAATAAGATTGTACTTATCCTTGGCAGACTCCTGTACAGCCATGATTTAGGACTCCATACAAGAATCTTTTTTTTTTCTCAGCAGCAGCTCTCCCCTACAAGCTTTTTTTAGGACTGCAGGGCTGTACTTCTGTTATGGATTCACTGCAGGTGTGCCCCCTTGTGGCTCAGTGTGGCATAACGAAGCTCTCTTGTCTCTAGTACTCCTGCCATTGGTCGCTCTGGCCCCTCAGTGGCCTCTCTTCCTGTAACTCAGCTCTCTGGCCAGGTCACAATTTAGACCTACCCTTTTGGGGGTTACAAAGTCCAAAAAATAAAAATTCAGATGTCCTTACAAAAAGGTCTTTGGCCCTAACTCTGGGCTCTGTGTTCTTCATACCCTTCTCTCAGGGCTCTCCACTATCCTTGTTCCCTTCTTGGGCCTCACACCACCTCATTGGTGGCTGGTAGGTGAACCACACCCTCCCACTCTATTTTTGGATTACAGCCCTGTAGTAAGCAGGCCAGGTCTACCTATTTTGACCTGCCCCGGCTACCTCCCTGGGCTTCTTCCTGCCATAGCTTTCTACCAGGCCTTCTCTGCATAACCTCTCCAGGTTCACCCTTTTCTCAGACTTGCAGCGTTCTCCCCTGAAATCCCTGGTTAAATCACAAACCAAAAGTATAACATAAACCGAGTTTCACCCTCTTCAGACTTGGCCTTTGCATGCCTCTTAAGTTCCATTTGCTGTTCCTGCTCTGAACACCTTCCAGAGTGCTCTCCCGGTAGTCTGTATCCTGTCCTTTTATCAGGTCTTACCATGGGAGTCTGCTTCAATCCCGTGGCTGCTTTGGCTCTCTCTCCTGACCCCCATCAGACATCTCTACTCAGGAGAGGGTCTCAGGGCTCACAGTCCCTCTGGGCTTCTTCCTTGAGTGCTGTGGTTTCTCTTTTCTCTGATCTCAGAGAGTGACTGTAGAGTCCTTCACACACTCCCTGCAGCTCCCCTTCTGTTCTTTACTTTTGCTGTTCATAGTGCTTTCCCAGCCCCACCTACCAGCTGGGCTACATCAACAATTAAGCATGGCCTCTCAGGTCCATATAAACCTATTCCTTGTCCATGTGGGGTACAACCCCTATCACAGTTGACTAATATCAAACCATCTTCCTCCAGGCCTTTAGAATTACAACCAGTATCATTTTGTTTACTTCAATACCAGTAGCTCAATCCTTTGAATAATAATATTGATTTTGATGTTCCATATCTTAGCACATGCTAGTACCCTTTCCTTAAGAGGTACAGTGGTAATAGCCTCATTCAGAAGTACAAAAAAAATTGTTGAAATTGCTCTTCCACGTGGCACAGTACTGTGAAACCAACCTGCTGATGGGCATTACCCACTGGAGAAACCTTTCTATGCTACTAAATAGTTTCAAGTATTCAATCCACAGTTTAGAGACTAACCAATTTATTTGAGCATGAGCTTTCGTGAGCTACAGCTCACTTCATCAGCATCAGCATCTGATGAAGTGAGCTGTAGCTCACGAAAGCTCATGCTCAAATAAATTGGTTAGTCTCTAAGGTGCCACAAGTACTCCTTTTCTTTTTGTGAATACAGACTAACACGGCTGTTCCTCTGAAATCCACAGTTTGTGCACTTATACCCATACAGTTGTAAGTGATTCTGTAGCTCAGTATTATGACCAGCCAAACACATATCACATAAATGTGCAGAGTCATAGAATCATAGAAATGTAGGGCTAGAAGGAACCTTGAGAAGTCATCAAGTCCAGCCCCCCACACTGAAGTAGGACCAACTAACCTAGACCCTCCCTGACAGATGTTTATCCAGCCTGTTCTTAAAAACTTGCAATGACAGGGATTCCACAACCTATCTTGAAAGCCGATTCCACATCTTAACTATCCTTATAGTTAGAAAGCTTTTTCTAATATCTAACCTAAATCTCCCTTGCTGCAGATTAAGTCCATTGCTTCTTGTCCTACCTTCAGTGGACATGGAGAACAATTAGTCATAGTTTTATTGTCCTCTTTATAACAGCCCTTAATATGCTTGAAGATTGTTATCAAGTTCCTCCCTGCCCCTTTTCTGAAGATTAAGCATGCACAGTTTTTTTCCATAGGTCAGGTTTTCTAAATCCTTCTAAATCTTTGATCATTTTGTTGCTTTCCTCCTTTGTATTTCAAAGATATTAATTTATTTGTATTTAAGTGATTAAACAAGTTTTATAAGATTTCTGTTAAAAAGAATGGATCCAGTAATGAAGGGTGGAAAATGTGACTATATGCCTACTGTAAAAGGTAAATTTCATAATTACGACTTTAAAATTTGCTCCTTCTAGTGTCCTGAATTCAAAAGACCCAGGGATATTGCTGTTGACTGGATTGCTGGAAATATTTACTGGACGGATCATTCTAGAATGCATTGGTTCAGTTACTATACAACTCACTGGACAAGTTTAAGATACTCCATCAATGTAGGACAGTTGAACGGACCAAACTGTACAAGGCTGCTTACAAATACGGCAGGAGAACCATATGCAATTGCTGTAAATCCTAAAAAGGGGTATGTTGTTTCTGTGGCATTTTATCATGTTGTATTCTATTTTATAAATAACAAACATACATAGAAGTTTAAGCAAAGCAAACATAACTTGCTGCATAATAATGTCTACAAATGTGCACATTTGGTTATTTAGCCTTTCTGCTTCAGTTTACCCATCTGCAAAATGAGGTTAATATTCCTCATCTCTCAGGTGTTTTGTGAGACTTACAATAATATAATGTCTGTTAAGTATTTTGAGATCATTTGAAGAAAGGTGCTATGTACATTTAAGGTGTTAATTTATGCAAATTCATGGCAACAATTTTATGTTTGATATTTTTAGGATGATGTATTGGACAGTCATTGGGGACCACTCTCACATAGAAGAAGCGGCAATGGATGGTACTCTAAGAAGGATATTGGTACAGAAGAATGTACAAAGACCTACAGGTACATGGAATTTCAAATTCCCCATTAAAAGGTAGCATTGTGTGGATTTCTTGGCTGACTTCCAATTTTGCAGTCCTAAAGAATTCTATAATTTTATATTTTAGTAATAAATATACAGTTAACTATTAAATTCATAATATTTTAAATGACATAACTGAATCTAGATAAGCTTAACACAGTAACTTTATAAGACAATACCAAATAACTATAGATATATATATAGAGAGAGGGAATTAACAGAACAGGGCATTTAGAGTCATCCATTCCCTGTTGTTCAGTCCTAGCTTTTGCCATTTGGAGATTTAGGGACACCCAGAGGATAGGTTTCATCCCTGACCATCTTGACTAATAGCCATTGATGAACCCATCCATATGAACTTATATAATTTTTTTGTACCCGGTTATACTTTTGGCCTTCACAACATTCCCTTCACAACACCACAAGCTGACTGTGCATTGTGTGAAGACATACTTCCTTTTGTTTTAAACTTGCTTCCTATTAATTTCCTTGAGTGACCCCCTAGTTATTGCTTTATGTGAAGGGGTAAATAACTCTTCATATATTTGCTTTCTCCATACCATCAATGATTTTATCGACCTCTATCATATCCTCCTTTAGTCATGTTCACAAGCTGAACAGTGCTAGTGTTTTTAATCTCTCCTCATATGGAAGCTGTTCCATACACCTAATCATTTTTGTTGCCTTTAGCTGTACTGTTTACAAATCTAATGTATCTTTTTTGAGATGAAGCTACCAGAACTATACACAGTATTCAAGATGTGAGCATACCATGGCTTTATATTGTGCCCTTATGGTATTTTCTGTCTCATTATCTATCCATTTCCTAATGGTTCCTAACATTCTGTTAGCTCTTTTAACTGCTGCTGCACATTAAACAGATGTTTTCAGAGAACTATCCACAATAACGGCAAGATCTCCTTTCTGAGTGGTAACAGCTAATTTAGACCCCATAATTTTGTGTGGATGCTTGGGATTATGTTTTCCAATGCGCATTACTTTGCCTTTATCAACACTGAATTTCATCTGCAGTTTTCTTGCCCACTCATCCAGTTTTTGAGATCCCTTTGTACCTCTTCCCAGTCAGCTTTGGACTTAACTATTTTGAGTACTTGTGTACTGCAAAATTGTCTGCAAATTTTGCCACCTCACTGTTCCCCCCACTTTTGCAACCATTTATGAATATGTTGAACAGCTCAGGTCCCAGTGCAGATCCTTGCGTGATCCCATTATTTACTTCTCTCCATTGTAAAAACTGACCATTTATTTCGACCATTTATTTCATATCTTTTAAACAGTTACTGATGCATGAGAGGACCTTCCTTCTTATTCCATGACTGCTTATTTTGCTTACGAGCCTTTGGTGATGATCATGTCAAAAGCTTTCTGAAAGTCCAGCTACATTATATACACTGGATCAGCATTGTTCACATGCTTATTGACTCCCTCAGAAAATTCTAATAGGTTGGTGAGGCATGAGTTCCCTTAACAAAAGCCGTGTTGATTCATCCCCAACATGTTGTGTTTGTGTGTGTGTGTGTGTCTGGTAATTCTGTACTTGATTATAGTTCCAACCAGTTTACTGGCACTGAAGTTAGGCTTACTAGCCATAATTGCTAGGGTCATCTGTGGAGCCTTTGTAAAAAATAGGCATTACGTTATCTAACCTCCAATTATCTGCTACAAAGCCTGATTTAAATGATAGATTACATACCACAGTTAGTAATTCTGTATTTTCATATTTGAGTTCCTTCAGAACTCTTGAGTGAATACCATCTGGTCCTAGTGACTTATTACTATGTGATTTATCAATTTGTTCTAAAACCTCTGCTATTGACCTGTTAATCTGGAAACGTTTCACAGATTTGTCACCTGAAATGAATGGTTCGTGTGTGCGATCTCCCCCACATCCTCTGTAGTCTGGTTTGGCCAATGTACATAGCAGAGGGGCATTGATGGCACATATCACATTAGCAGATGTGCAGGTAAATGAGCCCCTGATGATGTGGCTGATGTTGTTGGGTCCTCTGATGGTGTTGCTAGGGTAGATACGGGGACAGAGAAGGCAATGAGGTTTGTTACAGAGATTGGTTCCTGGGTTAGTGTTTCTGTGGTGCGGTGTGTAGTTGCTGGTAAGTATTTGCTTCAGGTTGGGGGCTGTCTGTAAGCGAGGACTGGCCTTCCTCCCAAGGTCTGTGAGAGTGTGGGATCATTTTCCAGAATAGGATGTAGATTGTTGATGATGTGCTGGAAGGATTTTAGCTGAGGCCTGTACGTGATGGCCAGTGGTGTTCTGTTAATGTGATATATGCCATCATGTGCCAGCAATGCCCCTCTGCCATGTATATTGGCCAACCCGGACAATCTCTATGTAAAAGAATAAATGGATACGAATCAGACATCAGGAATGGTAACATACAAAAGCCAGTAGGAGAAGACTTCAATCTCTATGGACATTCAATAGCAGATTTAAAGGTAGCCATCCTTCAACAAAAAAAACCTTCGAAAACAGACTTCAAAGAGAAACTGCAGAGCTACAATTCATTTGCAAACTTAAAACCATTAATTTGGGCTTGAATAGGGACTGGCAGTGGTTGGCTCACTACAAAAGCAATTTTCCCTCTCTTGGTATTGACACCTCCTCATCAGTTATTGGGAGTGGACTACATCCACCCTGACTGAATTGGCCTTGTCAACACTGGTTCTCCACTTCTAACGTAACTCCCTTCTCTTCATATGTCAGTATATCTATTGCTGTATCTGTAATTTTTACTCCATGCATCTGAAGAAGTGGGTTTTTTACCCACGAAAGCTGATGCCCAAATAAATCTGTTAGTCTTTAAGGCACCACCAGACTGCTCATTGTTTTAGCACCTTGATCGTCCAGTGGCCCAAATGACAGTTTAGCAGGCTTGCTATCTCTGATGTACTTAAAATAAAATTGCTGTTAGTTTTTGTATTGTTAGCTAGTTGCTCTTCAAATTCTTTCTTGGCCTGCCTTCTTACACTTTTACACTTGACTTGCCAGAGTTTGTTCCTTTCTATTTTCCTCACTAGGATTTGACTTCTGATTTTTAAAGGATGCCTGTTTGCCTGTAACAGACTCTTTTACTCTGCTGTTTAGCCATGTTGGCATTTTTTTGGTTCTTTTACTGATTTTTTTTTATTTGGGGTATTCATATAGTTTGAGCCTCTATTACTGTGTTTTTAAAAGGTCTCTACAGTTTGCAGGTATTTCACCCTTGTTACTGTTCCTTTTAATTTCTGTTTAACTAGCTTCCTCATTTTTGAAGTTAAATGCTACTGCAGTGAGTTTCTTTGGCAAGAAGGATGTTATATTTAATTACATTATTGTCACTATTACCAAGCAGATTGGTTATATTCACCTCTTGGACAAAACCCTGTGCTCCACTTAGGACTAAATCAAGACAAGCTACTCAAAGAAGCATTTATTGTGTCTGGACAAATAACCAGTCAATATAAGGATCATTGAAATCCCTCATAACTATTGTGTTTACTGCCTTTGTAGCTTTTTTAATCTCCCTGAGCATTTCATAATTGCCATCACCCTCCTGGTCAGGTGATCAGCAGTATATTAGTACTGCTATACTCTTATTGTTAAACATGGAATGTATATCCATAGAGATTCTATAGAACAGTTTTATTTATTTAAGATTTTTACTTTATTTGACTCTGTTTTCTTTCACATTTAGTGCCACTCCCCCACCAGCACAACCTATGGTCATTCCTATGTATTTAGTACCCTGGTATTACCAGGCCTTATTGATTATCCTCATTCCACCAACTTTTGGTGGTGCCTTTTATATCAATATCCTTATTTAATGCCAAGCAATCTAGTTCACCCATCTTAATATTTAGACTTCTAGCATTTGTATATAAGAACTTGTACATTTTGTCTATATTCAGTTGCTTGCTTTCATGTGTTGTATTTAAATGGGAGTCATTGTTTGTTCCTTACTAACTCCCACCTGTACTTTACCAACGTCTTTCCTATACTCTTTTCTAGGATATAGAGTTCCTCTTTCATAAATTCATTCGTAAGGAATGACTCGGCCTGAGCTTGTACTTTTCCACACTTGTGTACTTTTTTCCAGCCCCTTTCCCCAAAGGTTCCCCAGTTTCTAATAAACCTAAAAGCCTCCTCCCCACACAATTGTCTCATCTATGCATTGAGACACTGCAGTTTTGCCTGTCTTTCTGGCCCTGCATGTGGAACTGGAAGCATTTCAGAGAATACTACCAGGAAGGTTCTGGACTTTAATCTCTTACCCAGTAGCCTACATTTGGCCTCCAGAACCTGTCTCCTACTTTTCCTATGTCATTTGTTCCACAACCCCGACTCTTCCCCTGTACTGCACATAAGTCTGTCTGAATATTTTCTGAGATCTGCAACCTTCGTACCTGGCAGGAAATTTATTATGCAGTTCTCCTGGTCATCACAAACCCGGTTATCTATACTTCTAATAAATAAATACCCGATCTTCCTAGTAACTGGGGTATCCTAGGAGGGGTATCTTAAGTGCAAGGGGGAATCATGATATCATCTAGAAGGAAGGAATCTATGGGATTGCTTCCCTCCACTCCAGCTTGATGTTCTCCTTCCTTGTGACTTTCGTCCTCCTCAACACACTGATGCATCAGAGTTGGAGTGGGATTGCTCTATTGTGTCCCTGAAAGTCTCCTCTAAGTATCTATCTGTGTCCCTTAGCTCCTCCGGTTCAGCTACTCTGACCTCGAACCCATACTGTGTCTGATGAGCTGCTTGCACCGCATACACACAAATACCACCTACATACAAGGCAGATGATTGTACATGCTGCATCTAGTGCAATAAATTGGATAGCCCCCACTCTGATCTGGACTTCTGCATGTATTATTCTTATTCTTGCAGGTGTTTGGGGGTGGGGAGTAGGCAGGTGGAGAAGGGGGTTATTGATCTAAGTTTAGCGTCTGTTTGTTAGCTGTATCTGCCTCTTGCCCTTGCTAAACTCCCTCATAAAACTCCCCTGTCTGTTGCTTCTGTTCTCCCTGAGTTAGCCCTCCCATTTATCAAGGGATCATAACAGAATTAGGGATCAAAGGATAACAGGCTGCAGCCCCATTAGTAAGCTCTCAGCCTAACTTAGCAGGCCACTTGGCTCGGCACTCAGTCCCTAAAAAAGCCACAAAACAATATTCAAGCAAGCAAGCAAACAGCAAGCAAGCACACAACAAATCTATGTATAAATCAGGTCTAAAAAAATGTATATGTAGCCTTACAGTCTGTTATAGTTCATACTGTTTGCAGAGACAATCAGTTCTACCTTGTGTTTAGTTAAGAAACTCTCAGTACCTTTCCCAAACCTGAAGAAGAGCTCTGTGTAGCTCGAAAGCTTGCCTCTTTCACCAACAGAAGTTGGCCCTGTAAAAGATTTTATCTTATCCACCTCAGTCTATCTGTAGTTAGTTTGGTGAATACTGTACTAAACTTTAAAATCCATTTATTTTAATAAAAGTACAAAAAAGAGAGATGTTAAAAAGAAATGACAACTTAATGTATTGTTCCCTAGGTATTAAACAGAAGAACTTAAGCTTAACAAGAAAAGTAATAATTAAAATCATCTGAGTTATGCAGGGTTAAGGCTACAGACAGAAAGCTCAAAATAGAAAATGCCAAAATACAGAATGAAATGAATATAATTAAATAACAAAATACACTTCTATACCTCCCTTGGTCTGTTCAAGCGCCTCTCCTCCATCATATCTCCATGTTTAGACTGAAACAAGAATAATAATAGTTACTGTTAATCTATTATAAATCATCTTTATATCATTGTTTATTTATGCTATAGTTTACAAATCCAAAACAGACTATATTCCCTGACTTGGATATTAAAACCTAACAACTCATGGCATAGCAAATTTCAGCTAAGGGAGGTTCTGAGGAGAATACTCAAATTCTTGTGGAGCATCAAGCTGCCACAATAAGATTTTCATATTTCCCCAGATTTAGAGGAGATTTTTTGCTGAAACATATTTATATAAACACTTCTCCAGGCTTCAATGATCTGTTGCTTTAATTACTGTTACCTTCTCATTTCCTGATGCCTTGTTTTTCACTCCAGTATTAAAACACTGCCTTTAAAGTTATCTTTCTCTCCCCAGTGCTCCAAACATATCACCTTCGCTCTCATCAGTGATGTGAATGGTTAGTTTTCATGATATGAAATTTTGCAAGTAATAAAAGTACAAAACTGATCTGAACAATGCAGGTGCTGTTTTATTTCTGGCCTGACCACAAACAGGACTGCAAAAGATCCTCTTTTCATAATATTTACTTCTAGCTATGTTAACGTTTAGAAAAATTTCAGATAAGCATTTAACAAGACTTCGGAATCCTTAAAGGGCTCAGGAAAGTGAAAATTAACAATGTTTTTTATTGCAAAACATTAGTCCATTCTTCCATAGCTTTTACTGATAAAAAATAAAACTCCCTGGGGTCTTGAAATTTTTTTATATATATTTTTATATATTTTCAACATATTTAGCTTTTTACTATTTCTGTTTTCTCAGCATGCTTAAAATAGGCCTTTCTGTTCCTATGGAGTCTATCATTCTTCTCAACTGAGACTTTTCTGTTCCTGATCAGAGAAAATGTGAGGCTTTATTACAAATGCATGTCGTACTGCTCCTAAATTTGTTCCCAAACATGACTTTGCAATTCCAGATAAGAGTGAGCATAAGATTGGATATTTGCGCTCACGTGGTGTTGCTATAGCTTTAAATATAAAGTATACAAAATAGTGACTCCTTTCACTTTATGCTAACTTCAGAAATTTACTTCTGAAAGACAAATTGAGTATATATTATTCTTTCATTAAAATTTTAATTTAAAAATTTATTACTTTATTGAAAGCTTTTAGAATAAATCCAAGTCAGAGACTGATGACTATTTCTCCAGTTGCAGACTCTAAATGCCATTTATCATAAAGCTTTTCTGTATTATCTATTACAAGAAATTATTCTGTCCAACTGTATGTTCACAAAGCCAATGTGGGTTCTGGTATTATTTTTGAGTTCACTTCAATGGAATTTTGTATGCCAAACCTTCAGGCTTTTTAAAAAAAAAAATACTAGCTATTTCATTATTATACAGAATAAAACTTTCTCCAACTTCCTTTTTCCTATCAGTAGTTGATTAATTTACTACTTTAAGAATGCTTTTGTTTCTATGTATAACTTTGACTTATACTTGTTACATCAATACGGAAAAAAACAGTTTCTTCCATTCTTGTAAAACTGTAACCTTAACAGCAGAGCATTAGATCACTTTTAAGCAGACAGAAAATTTTAACAGAACACAAAATAGTAAATATAATCATTTTAAGAGGTCCCTAATAGAGCATAGTCTGCTTGATTTAACTACAAAGTCATTGTCCAGAGGCTGGTTAGGCATAATGTATCTGTGTTTTATTCTGGATATCTGAATATCATTGTTTAAATACTTAGTCTAGTTAAACTAAAACAAACAAACATAACATTTCTGTTTTAATTCTTATAATATGTAAAATACTGGCATTATGCAAGTCTGATGACAATAGAAAACACTTCTGTATGGCAGGAAACATAGATTTGCACGATCACATAGAACATTAACACCCTGATCCTACAATTCACTGTGCAGACCTGTGCACACTCACACCTGAATGGAGCTCTACAGAAGTCAATCGGGCTCCATACAGGCACAGGATTAGGGCCTATGTGTATATGAAATAAAGGGATGTGGTATATTTCCACCTGACTGGGGTTGGGTATTGATAAGGAAATAACCAGTGGGAAGGAAATTAAAGAAATTAAAGGAACTGGTTCACTCAGCCTGAATTTAAGGATTGAGCAGAAACCTTATTTGTCTATTTTCTTTAGATTCCTACATTGCACTCATCTATGTAGTATTGCAATGCCTTCCAGGAAATGAGACGGGAAAGCCTATAATCTACAAAACGCTATGGTATATTTTTATATTGGTATATTTTTATACTTTATTGTAAATGTAAACTCTCTCCTTTTTTTTTTTTTTTTTTTTTTTTTTGGCAGGTCTTGTTGTTGATCAGTTCAGTCAGCGCTTGTTCTGGGCTGACTTTGAATTATCTGTTATTGGCAGTGTTCTTTTTGATGGCTCTGATTCAGTAGTATCTGTGAGCAGTAAACAAGGTATGCAGAGTTTTTCTATAACACGTACTTTGAAAGAACTGTTAATTAAAAAGAAATGATCTCAATTTCTGTATTATTTGTGGTATTTCCATCTAGCAATACAGTGAATATTAGTTCTGTTGCCGTTAGAGATTATTGTAGATAATGGATTTGTAAGGCTCCAATCCCAGCATTGACTAAGTGCAGGGACACTTTGTTTGACTTTATGGGAGCTCCATATGGCCACAGGTGTGGATCTGCATCCAGACTACTGCAGCCTACATGTGTAATTCACAGTATGCTGAATAACGTCAGGTTAGAGCTTTCAGCTATTTGCATTCCATTACATAGAAATCCTATGTAGAGTAATTGTAGGCCATTTAGCCTGACATCAGTCCCAGGGAAAATAATGGAAAAGCTGATGTGGAAATCAGTCAATAAAAAATTAAAGCACAGAAATATAATTAATGTTAAACAACAGAAAATAGGCCTTGTCAAACAAACTTTATTTCATTTTTATGAGATTACAATGGTTAATAAAGGTAACGGCATATATGTAATATATGGCAGGTTTCAGAGTAACAGCTGTGTTAGTCTGTATTCGCAAAAAGAAAAGGAGTACTTGTGGCACCTTAGAGACTAATCAATTTATTTGAGCATAAGCTTTCCTGAGCTACAGCTCACTTCATCGGATGCATACTGTGGAAAATTCAGAAGATGTTTTTATACACACAGACCATGAAAAAATGGGTGTTTATCACTTCAAAAGGTTTTCTCTCCCCCCACCCCACTCTCCTGCTGGTAATAGCTTATCAAAGCCCGTTGCCAACTGTGCCCACATATCTATTCAGGGGACACCATCACAGGGCCTAATAACATCAGCCACACTATCAGAGGCTCGTTCACCTGCACATCTACCAATGTGATATATGCCATCATGTGCCAGCAATGCCCCTCTGCCATGTACATTGGTCAAGCTGGACAGTCTCTACATAAAAGAATAAATGGACACAGATCAGATGTCAAGAATTATAACATTCATAAACCAGTCGGAGAACACTTCAATCTCTCTGGTCACTCGATTTCTGATCTCAAAGTGACTATCCTTCAACAAAAAAACTTCAAATCCAGACTCCAACAAGAGACTGTTGAATTGGAATTCATTTGCAAATTGGACACAATTAACTTAGGCTTGAATAGAGACTGGGAATGGTTGATTTATTATAAAAAGTAACCTATTTCCCCTTGTTTATTCCCCTGCCCCACTGTTCCTCAGATGTTCTTGTTAAACCCTGGATTTGTGCTGGAAATGACCCACCTTGATTATCATACACATTGTAAGGAGAGTGATCACTTTAGATAAGCTATTACCAGCAAGAGAGTTGGGTTGGGGGGGGAACCTTTTGTAGTGATAAACACCCATTTTTTCATGGTCTGTGTGTATAAAAACATCTTCTGTATTTTCCACAGTATGCATCCGATGAAGTGAGCTGTAGCTCAGGAAAGCTTATGCTCAAATAAATTGGTTAGTCTCTAAGGTGCCACAAGTACTCCTTTTCTTTTTATGTAATATATGTTTACATTCTGATAAAAAAAAACTATCACTACACAACATCAGTAAAGTACATGTTCAATGGGTTAAGAACTGATTGACAGATCTCAAAAAGTAGTTGACAGTGGTAATTATCATTGAAAAAGTGTGTTTCTAGGGGGTTCCACAGGGATCATCGGTTCTAAGTCCCATGCTATTTAACGTTTATATCAATGATATAGAAGTAAATTTAGTTTGTAGATGACACAAAGATTGGCAGAGTGGTAAATAATGATTAGGCAGTCATACAGAACCATCTGGATCACTTGGTATGATGGGCCCATTCAAACAAAATATTTTTTAATACAACCAACTGTAAGGTCAAGGTCTAGGACAAAGAATGCTGACCATACTTCCAGCATGGGCTCTGTGTCTTGGAATGCAGTGAGTCTGAAAATAATTTAAGGGTCATAGTGGAAAGGCAACTCAATGTGAGCTCCCAGTTTAATGTTGTGGCAAAAAGGGCTAATCCTTGGCTGTATCAGCAGGGGACTAGTGAGTTTGAATAGGGACATGATATTTCTTCCGTATACAGCTCTGGTGAGACCAGTACTGGATGACTATATCCAGTTCTAGTGTCCACATTTGAAAAAGAATGTTGAAAAATTAAAGAGGATGCAGAGAGGTACCTAAAAAGTTATTCAGGGGCTGGGAAAAAAATGCCTTACACTGAGAGACTTAAGAATCTCAGTCTGTTTAATTTATCAAAAAAAAAGATCAAGTTGTGACTTGATTAGGGTGTATAAGTAATTTCATGAGGACCAAATGCCAAGTACTAAATACAATGCTTAATTTGTGCCAGGACTTACCAAGGCTAAGCCCCGGCACCTTTAGCCTTGGCAGCTTATAGCCCCGGCACTTCTGGCGCTTACTGCATCAGTTATGAATGTTAAAAAATTGCTTGAGCCCTGGCACCTCTTTCATTACAAATTAAGCATTGATTAAAAGGCTGTTCAGTGGAGAAAGGCATAGCATTAACCAATGGCTGAAAGCCAAACAAATTCAAATTAAAACTAAGTTACAAATTTTTAACGAGTATGATTAGCCATTTGGAACAATCTACCAAGGGAAATGGTGGTTTCTGAAAGGTGATGAGTCACTCCTGTGCTCACCTCCAGCCAATCCACAAGCCAGGAATTGGTCATGTGACTCCCAAACCAGGTATACAAGTCCCACAGGAGGAACAGCAGCTAAATGTGCTCAACGTAATGCCAGGACTTGGAACTCTCTCCTGCCTAATAACGGTAACAGACTCCCCAGGCCTTAGTCGGCTCTAGCCTTGCCCCAGGCCTGTTTCTAGTCCTACTCCAGCCCTGCTCTCACCACCGCCTTGCTCTTCACCCTGCTTCACGCTCGCTCCAACCCCACCCTAGACTCCTCTAATTCCAGCTCTGACCACTAGGCCTGACCATGTCCATCCAAGTTACTCTATCTCTTGAGGTCTTCAGGACAGGATGCCTTTCCATAAAACATTCTCTGCTCAAACACACATTATTGGGCACATTACAGGGGCAACTGGGTGAAATTCTGTGGCTGCGTTATATAGGAGGTCAGGCTACATCATCTAATGGTGCTTTCTATCCCTGAAATGTTTGAATCTGTAGTTAAACTTGGTGTTTTGGAATCCTTATGTTGTATCAATGTACTGCAGTTACAGATTAAATTAAAGGTAGTATAAATAAATAGGAATATATCTGACGAGAAAATGTTAAAACAACAGAAAACAGTACTGGAGAAATTCTTTATTAGATTAGTTTTACCCTTGCACAGCCATCATCAAGTGTACATATTTTTAATGTCACCTATTTCTGTAAGATACCGTTAAAGTATTTCAAATACGTATGATTGCATTATCAAAAACTGTAGGTTTTCTGAGAATTTTCATGACTAGACTGGTCTAACTGACATTTGGGTGGGGGTAGGGGGATGGTATTTACCAAACTACAAAGAACAGTTTCCATATAATATGACTTAGGAAGTTTCTTCCTATTTAAAAGTTAGGTGGCTCTTGTGGATGTTACCAGGACTGTTTGTATGTTAGGCTTGGCCTTCACTTAAAACTTATACCAGCATAGCTATGTGGGTCAGGAAAATACCACCCACCCCCAGTGACAGAGCTATACCAACAAACCCAGCAGTGTAGATGCAGCTATGCAGACAGAAGAGTGCTTTTGTCAGCATAGCTGACACTGGTACATTTGTCAGCATAGGCTTTGCTGGCATAAGCTCTGTAGTTTAGACATCGCCTTAGTAATAGAACCTTTTAGATTTCAACTAGAATGTTTTAACTTGTTAATACCAAAATGAAGAATATCAGAATTTGAATATGACTTTTTTCCTTCCTTCTTTCTTTAAGGGTTGCTGCATCCACATAGAATTGACATTTTTGAAGATTACATATATGGAGCAGGACCTAAAACTGGTGCATTTAGAGTACAAAAATTTGGCTCAGGTTCTGTAGAATATCTGAATTTGAATGTTGATAAAACAAAAAGTGCCTTGATTTTCCATCGCTACAAACAAATAGATTGTGAGTAAACTTATTAGTTTAAAATAGATATTTAGAAAAATAAAGTAACTAAAAACTTGTAAATGTATAGTAGTGAGGCTGAACATACAAACCATTTGTCCATATTCCCATTTGTAAAGAGTAACTGAGATATTTTCATGTAACAACAAAAATTGTATATCATTCAATTCATAAAACCACTGCACTCAGCTTGTCTAAAGATGCAGCATAAAAAGTCAACAGAAAACTGGCCAAGAAATATTTCCAATCACAATCAATTAGCTTTTTCATAATATTGATGATTCTGGTGATTGGAATGTAATTTAAAAATATACAATGTAATTCAAGTTATTTTAACTTCATTATTACCAAAATTATGAATTCTCACTGTAACATGCCAAAAATATTTTACATTTATATGCGCCTTTCTTCCCTGAAAACTTTGCAAAAGAGATCATTCTGGAAAACACTTTAGTTACCACTGTGGAAGAAAGCAACAATTTACATTAAGCACTGAAAAAGGTTACCTAGGGAGGTTGTGGAATCCCTGCCATTGGAGGTTTTTAAGGACAGGTTAAGGTGTCTGTTAGGGTGGCCTAGGTATACTTAATCATCCCACCACAGCATGGTTGGATGGACTAGGTCACCTTTGAGGACTCTTTCAGCCCTACACGTCTATGATTATACAATTCAACATTGCTACTTTTCAGAAAGCAAAAAGAATACTGTATCAAAATGAAATTGCACAAGAAAATTTTAGGTAGGCAGAAAATAATTTCCCAAATTGGCTTAAACCATAGCAGCAAATCCAAGCCCCCTAAGTCAGTAAATTTCAGGGAACATCAACTCCAGAGCCCAACTCTGTAACTTTCGTCTATTTCTAATTTCCAATAGCAGAATTGAAATCAACCTGGAACCCAAGCTCTGGAAAAGTTGGGTTTGGTTCTGATTTCAGGCGCAAATTTTGTGACAAGGGTCCATTTCTACTGTTTTAGTTTGTCAGCTGTTTCTATAAGCTCAACCCTGTCCATCATCAAAACTCATTTAAACATTCAATATTTACTACTAGTACCTGTTTACATTTTGAACACCTTTCATCCTAAAGGATTTTCACGTACATACTATATACAATTCTTTACCCGTCACTGACATAAAAACCTGGCAGCTTTTTAACAATGCCCAAAATAGAAACACTACAGCTCAATATAGCACACTAAATGAATAATATGGTAGTCAACTGAAACTTCAAGAAAAATTGGATTTTCACCAGAATACTTATATGAACATCCTGCTCCTACAAAAACAGCTGGATTTTGAGATCTGCAACTCTTTGCACTTTAGTACTTCAGGGAATGAAGGAGGATTACTCACCTGCACTGATGGTGCTAGAACCACCACAAAAATCTTCCTAAATAGCTTCCTGCAACTGAGTTACTCCTCACTTGAGCTGCCAGTGCAGCCTTAAGCTACAAGGGGAAGAGGTTCAATAAGGACTCAGTTCCATGTAGATAGCTTGCATATGGTGCCCACTCTCATAACAGCACACCAGGAGCAGTCTGGAGTTAACCTGAGATAGTATCCCAAATATTCTAAATCAGCATCTGTTCTCCCCTCTCCTCCATCCTCTGCCCCCACAAGCAACAGCCGTAGCCTGGGGGTGGACTAAAAGAGACTGGAATCATGAAGGATTGGGGTACCGAGGAATTGGGTAGGGAAAGATATATGGTTGAGAGGAAAAACAAAAGGGGATCTCAACATACAAACTTGCTTAGAACTGCCTAGAGCCACCCTTTTTGTTTAGAATGAATTGGTTACGTTTATATAGGGGAAAACCACAAAAAATTATTGCACTAGCCTCCCAGAGTCCTAAGACTCACCCTGGCAAAAGGTTCCATAAAGATTGTTAATGATCAGAAGCAGTGAGGGCACCAGTTTTGCATTTCATTCGAAAGCCAGCATACCCAAGCGCATAATGTCACATAAAAGACATGCTGGAATATTGGTTCAATACTAATTCAGTGGGACAATATACAGAATTTCCAACACGACTTCCTACAGCAGCTAAGTTTCAATGGATATTCCACAGAGTGTAAATTAGAACTGAATTTTGCATACGTGCTTCTTCATTAGTTCTGTTTCTGGAAACAATGTAACTGCAAAATTTTAACATGTTTTTTTTTTCATCCTTAAACAGCACCTAATCCTTGTTTGGACTTGACATGCGAGTTTCTCTGTTTACTCAACCCTTCTGGTGCAGCTTGTGCATGTCCAGAAGGGAAATCTTTGATTAATGGAACATGCAGTGATCTGAGCCTTTCAGGTGGGTATTGGACATTGGTTAACAGATTGAACACAAGAAATAAGAATAATGATCAGTGTTTATGTCCTGGCAAAAGGCTAATAAAGAAGTGTTCCGAAACACTGTGATGTTTTACAATATATTTACTAATGATGTGGAACAGAAAGTGAATAGTGGAGTAGCAAAATTTGGAGATGACACAAAAATATTTACGTTGCTCAAACAAAAGATTTACCAAACCTAGATGGGTGAACAGTAAAATGGGAGATTATATTAATTGTTGACAAATGAAAGGTAATACAAATTATAAAGAATAATTTGAACTACTCAAAAGCATTGCTGGGTTCTCAGTTAACTGTTAATCACTCACAAAAAAGGCCTAAAAGACCATTAGTGTGGCTAGCTCAAAGAACACCTCTGCTCAGAATCCAGCAGTGGTAAAAAAGCAATAGCATATATAAAGAAAGACATAGCAAATAAACACTCCAGCAGGAGAGTGAGTTTGGGGGGGGGGGTGAGAAAACCTGGATTTTTGCTGGAAATGGCCCACCTTGATTATCATGCACATTGTAGGGAGAGTGGTCACTTTGGATAAGCTATTACCAGCAGGAGAGTGAGTTTGTGTGTGTGTGTGTTTGGGGGGGGGGGTGAGAAAACCTGGATTTGTGCTGGAAGTGGCCCACCTTGATTTTCATACACATTGTAAGGAGAGTGGTCACTTTGGATAAGCTATTACCAGCAGGAGAGTGAGTTTGTATGTATGGTTTTTGGAAAAAGGGGGGGGGAGGGAGTGAGAAAACCTGGATTTGTGCTGGAAATGGCCCAACTTGATTATCATACACATTGTAAGAAGAGTGATCACTTTAGATAAGCTATTACCAGCAGGAGAGTGGGGTGGGAGGAGGTATTGTTTCATGGTCTCTGTGTATATAATGTCTTCTGCAGTTTCCACAGTATGCATCCGATGAAGTGAGCTGTAGCTCACGAAAGCTTATGCTCAAATAAATTGGTTAGTCTCTAAGGTGCCACACATTCTCCTTTTCTTATCTGTATTGAATTTCACCTTGTGGATTTCAGATCAACTCCCCAATTTGTGAAGGCTGTTTTGCATTCTAATCCTCTCCTCCAGTGTTTTTGCAGTCCTCTCAGTTTGGTGTCATCTGCAAATATTATAAGCATACTCTCTGCTCCATTTTTCAAGTCTTTTAGAAAAATATTGAATATTACCAGATGCAAGACTGGCCCCTATGGTGTCCCACAAGCTGTGTCCTCCGAGTCTGACAGTGATCCATTGATAGCTAATCTCTGAGTACAGTGTTTCAGCCAGTTGTGCACCAACCTCATAATAATTTCATCTAGATCACAAGAAAATGGACTTGCTGATATGGTAATTCCTGTATTCCTATTAGATTCTAGGAAAAGAAAGTATGTCACTTGTAAAATTAGTGTTTATCCATTGAATATGAGTTATTTTTAAAACATTATCTACCCATGAATGCAGAGAAAAAGTAGCCGAGTGTATTTATAATCTCTCCTGCCTAGCCAGAATTTCCTATTTAAAAATTTAGGGTACAAATTGTATTCTTCTGAAGAATTACATTGTTAGAGTAATACCATTTTGATAACTGTTTCACAGACAAGATGAACAGTACTCTCGCTGTACATAAGAGAGCGCTAAAATATTAAAATAAAAGTTATTGTCATGGTATTTTAGGCCTGAAGAAGCAAGTATCAAAAATGGCACAAGAAACTTGTTTTCCTGAGAATTCAGCCCCATATTAGCACATGCAAGGAATTCAGAAGGTTGATAGCTTTCAAACTTTTGAGTCCTTAACAAAATGATCAGAATCTTTTAATCTTTTGAGATTCATCAATCACAGATTAGGATTTCCTGTGAATATGAGAAATCAAAATGTGCTTGCAGCAGAACTTTAAATATTTATAATTCTAGGTCTGTTAATATAAAGGATCGAGAATTTTGAGGAGTTCAGCAGTTACCAAATCACCCAAATAGAAATTTTGATATTAAGTCACACAATTCCAAATTTATTCTACCAAGTATCGAAAAGTCAAACTAATATAGCGATTTAGAAGTGTATATGAAGTGAAACCAGTAAAACTATCCAATTTAGCTGTGTTTTAGTTCCTGTTCAAGAAAACTACACTTACTAGCAGTAAGGGTAAAACAACAGCACAAAGGTTACTTCAGGGATCGGCAACCTTTGGCACACAGCCCGTCAGGGAAATCCACTTGTGGGCCGGAACGGTTTGTTTACCTCCAGTGTCCGCAGGTTTGGCCGATCGCAGCTCCCACTGGCTGTGGTTCACTGTTCCAGGCCAATGGGGGCTGTGGGAAGCGGCAGCCAGCACATTCCTCGGCCTGCACAGCTTCCCGCAGCCCCCATTGGCTTGGAACGGTGAACCGCAGCCAGTGGGAGCTGTGATCAGCCAAACCTGCGGATGCTGGTGGTAAACAAACCGCCAGCAGATTTCCCTGATGGGCCGCGTGCCAAAGGTTGCCGATCCCTGGGCCACAGTATACATATAACTAATTCATCTCTTTGTTTAGATAGAGTACAAGGTATGTAAAATAGGTCATAGCCATGCAGCTACATGAGTATTATCTCTTACATTTACTACATTATGCTATATGGTTGGTGTAGAAAATATGTACTTAAATACTGTCGCCCCTGGGCTAAGCAGTGGTCAAGTTTGTGGCCTTACAACAGGTCATTTTGTGTTGTTGGATGGGAACTGACGTCATAACCAAATACATTGTAAAATGTTTGTTTATACTCTGTATGCTTTCTTACCTACACTATATACATGAGTCCAGTTACTGTTAAAAATGGACCAAACCTCACATAGACAACTCTGGATACCCCAGAGCAATATCCCTGAACAACCACTAAGAATTGCTACCTTCATTGCTCCTCCAGGCATCATACTGTTTGACCAACTGACACAATATGTTCCACTTCTGACTACCTCTCACTCTTAAGTCAGGAGCCAGAAAAGCAGCAACAGAATCATGCTGGGCAGATTCAGTAGTGCTCAGCTGATTCATTGCATTATTTATTACAATATTTCTAAAAGATAAACATAGAAGGCCTTAATATTATATTTAATATTGAAATTTAAGTATTGACAAATTACATTAAAGGAATGCTATTCTTTCTTTGGTGTCTGAGAGTAACGTGCATCTGTAATTTCAGTAATTAACCCAAATTTACTGAACAACTGAGAGAATATACTTTAGTGAACAACTGAGCTACTAGGAAAGATGTTGTCACAAGACAAAGATTTGAAGTCTGCTAGATTTGCATTTCCACAAATCTATTTGGGCTGTCCACAGCATAGTGGATGTAGATATATATGGAGAAGTGCCCTGTTCACTGAATTTTCAGTAACTGAAGACTTTTGAGGGATCCTTTACTTCAAATGGCTTCCCACACTTGCACTATCTATAATTTCTTTATAAATTGCTGAGTAACTGCTTCTTTGTATTCTGATTTGAATTTAGATTCATTAGCTCTGGATTATTATTCTTTTGAGTGTTTTCATTTGCCCATTTAAGGTGGCAGCTTAAATTGCATCTGAAATACACAGAACTTAACTAAGGATTACTGCATGTATATCTATGATCTATTTTGACATGGCTAAAATACTCTGAAGTAGGTTTTAAAATCTGTGTTTTCATGGCTGAAGAGTGCATTTACAGCACAGGTCTTAGTTTGGTGAAATTGGAATTCTAACTGTACACAGTTTTTTGCATGAATTGTGAAGAAGGCAAGCTCATTTCCTTTTGAATAATGTGCAGCATGGAGACAAAAGAAGAGTGCTTGAAGCGGCCAACCAACTTCTGGGACTCTGTAGTCAGTTTCCATAGTGGGTTTTGATGAGGAACTACAGAGTACATATGAAACATTCCAAACAGCACACATTCTCATTATTAAAAGCTTTTATTATATTACCCTCATTTTGGTGAGATGTAATAGAAGTCGATATCCCTGAAACAGCATTTACTTTCTGGCTTTGCTGCCAAAATCCTCCAAGTACAGCACATTGATCCTGTGTTAGAAGAAAGGATTATATAATTATGTTAAGTTAATAGAAAGACTCCTGTTAATTTAAAAGGGCTTTGAATCAGGCCCTAAAAGAACAGAATCTAACAGCTTTTAGTCAGAATCCTCACTTGCTGTGCAACATTTTATACATATAAAAATAGGCTGTCTTCATTTTGTTGCTATTTGTTTTTCTGTTGTTGGTCAACCTTAATAATACAGTGACTGTAACTACACTATAGTTACATTACACATTCCACTAAGGGACTTAGGCTTTCCAATGCTGAACAGTACTGTGCTTAACCTTTAGCCACCTAGAAAATCACAGGAACAAACACTGCAATCCACAGAGACTGAGTTAGGTGCTTGGGTGCCTTATACAATGAAATGAGACATAGGCAACTAAGAAATGCAATCCACAAAAGCCTAAGCTAGCCAACAGGAGATGCCAAAAAGAGGGGTTTGTCCTAAGCCCTGACTATCTCTTGGAGATAAGCACCTATCTCTGCTTAGTAATCCATGAACAGGAACCCCTTTCTTGGAGTCAGGAGGCTTTAGGTGCCTGTTGTGATAATTTGCCCTACAAATTTGTCCTCATTGTGAGCTCAACTGTAAGAAGTATGCAAAGTTCATAAGATGTCACAATAACCTATAATAATAAATGTTGGAGGGAAAGGATATGGAAGGGAGACAGACAAACTAAATTCATCCAAACAAAAAGACCTATTGATATAACTCAAGGAATGTGTTAAGATCATGCTTGGTGAACAAGGAAAGCATGGAACAGAAATCAGTGAACCAAAAGTGGTGTGTTGGAAAGTAGGCCTAATTAGTGGACAAAATAATGAGAGGATGGGCTATTCCATCCACCATTCCCTTTGGGGGTCCTTAAAGAAAGAGGTTTGAAGGAGAAAAATTATTGGCTATTTGAGCTTCACTATCATTGCTACCATTCTC